CTAAAAGCATTAGGAATAGCACTATGCTGTCTAAGAACAGCAAGAAGGCTGGTATGACATGGAATGAGGACAGAAATAGGACATTAAGTCACATGGTGGAAATAGGAAGATCATGGAAGCTTTTTGTAAGGACTTCAGTAACAAGCACAACAGTGACATGTTAAGACTTAACAGAATCCCTCTAGCTGCTTGTTGTATGGAGATAAAACTGTAGGGTCCCAAGGAGAGGAGCAAGTGCTTCTTGTAAAGAAGCCTGAACCCTCCCCCTCCTCTTCCCAAATTAGCATTTTAAGTAGTTTGAAAGACTTGAATGACTTTTTCTAATTCTTGCAGGAACCAAAGAACCAAGGGAGAAACACACTGTTAAGACTAAGTACTACTCACTTCATTTCCTCACAAATTGACTTCCTGCCATCATCGTGTTTTAATCCTCATGGAAGGACATGCTTGACTTTAGAGTGGGAGGGAAAGAAACATCAATCGGTTGCTTTTGTAGGCCCCAACCAGGGACCAAACTTGCAACCTAGGAGCATGCCCTGAACAGAAATCAATGCTCCAAGTGAGGGACACCAGCCAGGGATACCATCGCGTTTTGATAGCTTTTCACAGGTTTGGATATTATTTCATTTGCTCTAAAGCACGTATTTAGGTGACAAAAGATAACAGAAGGTCCACTTGGTTTAGTTCAACAGACATTTATTCCTTTAGTTGAACATCTACGCACAAAATGGTTTATTTTTGAGTGGAAAGGAATTTAGGTCTTAAAGAGGTTTTCAGTCTGCTAAATGTTTTCTGGTATCATTAAACTGAGCCTTTCAAGACTCCTGAAAAAAACATGAAACCAGCAATTAGATTTTGGAATCAAACTACCTATTAAGTCAGCAAATCTGGAGTTGGAAACTGGGGCCAATTCCTCTTCTGTATTTCCTACGCTCAAATTCACCCTGGGACACAAACGCCTAGCCTACTGCAAGACATGAGGCAAACACAACGTGATGGTATGCTTTAACGCTAGGGTGGGCACAACGGGAAGGCCCGCAGTTCGTGGAATGTTAAGGATTTTGAGGGTATTTGAGTAGGTATGAACTAAGTAACTGTAGACAGTGCATAAGATTCACCTGGAAACCATGAACTATTGATGCCAAATACATGACATTTCTCAGTGGCCTTATGGGGATAACGGACATAAAGGGTTGCCCCAAGATGTCATCAGACTAAGTGGAGTCAGAAATGAAGTACTTCCAAATAAAGCTATTATTTCCCAAGGTGGCTGGAGGACTCACGATGGTTACAAATTAACACAACCCTTATTTTCCTTTTGTCCAATTTTGTCAGTTTTAATAAACGCCAGCTAATTGCCATTACTACTTTGCATGAAGTTCAGGATTCTATACACTCCACAAGTTACGGGACTGAACCAGGAACAGCCACCTTTTATGAAAATCAACAGTACTGTGGAGACTATGTTCATTTTTGTTTAGGTAAACCTGGATTTCAACAACTCTTTCAACAGGATCGTTCAATTCTCCTGAAAGTGGTGGCATTCTTTTTAACTTTTCTTCTATTAGGTAATCTAAAAATATGGACCCCCTAGTTAACTTTCATTTTTCTGCATAGGATTGAAAATGGATTAAGATGTATTTTGCATTTCCAAGCAAAGTTCAGCCCCTGGAGACCACACCAGCAGAACACTGTATTACCCAATAAAGCTGTAGGTTTCATCACATGCACCAACAAATCTACACAGCTAGTTCTGCGCTCCTTTTTCACAGAATTTATTTTACACCTATCATACCAAACAGTATTTTAAACACTGACATAGAAAACTCCCTAACAAGAAAAGGCAGCGATTTTCAACTGGTGTGCCGTGGCACACTGGTGTGTTGCAGTAATTTTTAAAACATGCAATATTCAACTATTTAGCCAGGGGCACTGATCTCTTTCCCCTTAGATTGTCAAATAAAAAAAAAAACAACAACAGCCAACACAACAATAGCCATCTGGTGTGAATGAATCAAAATTATTTTTGGTCAGATCAGCAAAAAACTAATACACATTTTGGTGTGTCACAGATGAAAAAGGTTGAAAATCGCTCAGATAAAGCAACAAGTGTTTATCTTATGAGAAACGAGATACACCATCACTTAATAGTCTTCAAACATTATTGCACTTTAACTTTCATAATTTGACAATGCATTCACAAAACAATCTGCAGACACTAGTTTTAACAAATTAAAGAACACTTTTAAGCAGACACAACTGTCCTAAATTGTTTATTAGGTAAGAATTTTACAAACATGACACATATTAGCGGTAACGGTGGAGCTGGAGAGTATTGCGCCTTCTCCAAGCTGCACGGCGAGAACCACCAATAGTGTGGTGGAACTTGTGGCCCTTTCCAAGGCCACGGCTCTTGCGGCCCGCAGATGTCAGCCCTCGCATCTCCCTGTGCTTGTGGACTGGTTTGGTGATCCACTGTGTGTCAGGATTCCTTCTGATAGCCTTATGGAATGGATCAATGAGGATAACCTCAAAGAATTTGTACGTGGAATCTTCACCGACCCAGTAAGAATTCAGGACTCTCAGAGCCCCACAATGGCGCCCAGCTCGCTCCTAGAAGAGGAAAAATTGTTAGCCTCCCGCATTTCCCACAGTAGCAAATTAGAAATAAAGAATTCTTTTCAGTTCACCACTATACAAGAGACTGAGGTGTGACTATCAAGTATGAAAAGGTAAAGGTAAACTTAACTATTCTCTATTATTATCATCGCCTACCTAATGACTGGGGTTTGTGAATGTCTTTAAGGCCTGAATGTTAAGACTATCCAGCTAATAAAATTTAGGATTCTGGAAACTTGTCTTCTTTCTAATACATCAAAGTGGGACCAAAGCCTAAACTATTCTCAATGCTATATAGAAAACCTTAACATTTAGCATATTTTAGGCTTTAGAGGCCACAATGGTTTCTTTTGCATAGCCTTCTTTTCCTTTTAAAAGCGCACAGCTTCTATATACCTGGGGAGATATGCTCTTCCAGAAAAAGTTCACTGCCCTTGAAAAGTTGAGGTTCCAGATTCACTAACCTTAAAACACAACTTTCCGAGATATAGGAGCAAAAACAAATCAGTAACAAAGACTTACAAAGTCTCATCTTTGACCAAAACTCTTTCCCAAGATTAATAAGTAAAACTCCTAAACAGCATCTAAAACACAAAGGGCTCACCTAGGCACCAGTTAGCCATCGAAAAAAAAGAAACCTGCACAAATTCTTGTATACCATCTCCTGGAGGTGACCAATACAACTACTTCTCAATAACCACTTACCTCAGCAACAGACTGAAGGCTTCGGGCAAACTTCAGCTGGTTAACACCATGATGGACAGGCTTGCCATAGGTCGCACCCTTAGGAACAGGGCGTTTGCGGCCACCACGGCGCACACGAATCCGATATATGACATAGCCTATAAACAAAAATTATGGTGGTCTTATAATAAAAGCCACAGAATGGGAGACTCAATGACATGTCACTTTCGCTCCTACAGCAACTATATTCAGACCATGTCAAATGCTACGTGTCTGATGGAGGTAAGAAACATACCAGATTGTGAGACTCACCTTAAAAAGCTTTGTTAACCACACACAGAAATAAATTCTCATTTCCCCTCTACACTGCTACTTATCTTTAGTCCAGGCTCACGCAAGTTTGTGTAACCGATGACACACTTGATAGACAAAAGGGCGCAGTCATTTGCTGGTCAACAATTTCAATGTTTTGATAGCTTAAAACAGTTGCTGCCAAAGCCTCGTGTGAAGGTCGACACCAGGGCAATAGCAGCTTTTCCCACGGAATCCAATTTTACCCCAGCACCCAGGCACAGGCCACTCACCTTGCTTGGCCTTGTATCCCAGCCTGCGCGCTTTATCGGGCCTGGTGGGGCGGGGGGCCCTGTGGAGCGCAGAGAGCTGGCGGTACTGCCAGCAGCGCACCCTGAGGAGGAAGCGCATCACATCGGACTGCTTCTTCCTCCATAGCTCCTGGATGTACTTGTAAGCGCCCATCGTGGCTCACCTTTGAGAAAAAACCGGGTATTTAAATGTCATCCATTTAAAGTAAACGAGAAGACTCCGCCCGTCCATCTTAGCTCCCCGCCAACTGCAAGGAAACCACTGAGGATGAAAATGGCTCTGCACAAACTGCAGTGCATAGCCAACCTAACCCCCTCCCCTGCGCCCACTGAAAGCAGCGCTCAGTCACCTGTGACACCAGAGCGCAGCAGCGCAGGAAAAAAAACCCACATTTGCAGGATGAATAAATGGCGATAGACTTGAGCCCTGAGGGGGCGGATGACTGCGGCAAACAGCGTCCCCAAGGGCCGGGCCCAATCTGCAGAGACTTCGCAGACCATACAGGAAAAGGTTTTCCCGCCGCCGAAGATTAACTCTCTAGGAAAAGGCACTTACTCCACCCATCCGGCCGGACTCGCTTTTGAAAGACCTAGCCCAAGCTCCTATGCCTCATTCCCACGCCTTTCTTTCCTTCACATTGTGGGCCCAGCTCTAATTCGCGCCGCCATCACATCGTCCCCCCAGCCCGCTCCGGGGGCCGCTTCTCCATATCCCCGCTGCCCCGCATCCTGATCAGACTCGCGCCACACTAGAAACAGGAAAAGCTCCAAGGACGTAGGACCCTGAGCCTGGATGGCTCAGGTAAACGGAGATCCGCGACGGATGGAATAGTAAATTTCTCCGACACAGCTTACCTTATGGCTGCGGCCAGACGGAAAGGAAGAGCCTTTCTCCCACAATTCCTTTTGGGCTCCTCCCCCACTTCAAGAGAAAACTCTTTCCGGTGAAAGCTGGGGGGGAGGGGCGCCAGAGCCTCATGGGACATGTAGTTCCGGCAGAGAGAGCGAGAGAGAGAGAGAGAGAGAGAGAGAGAGAGACAGAGAGACTGGTGGGCGGAGTTCCGCTGGGATTGGGTGCAGCCTTCCCTATTGTCCCGCCCCCTGCTGCTCAAGGCAACAGTTCTTGGCAAGGCTTTGGCGGTCGAGCATTTAGGAACCGCGGTCGGGACACACACGTTGGAGGCGGGGCTCCAGTGGCTAAAACCCGCCTTCAAGCCTCGCAGCCCGTGCGTCGCTGTCTTCGGGATCTGTGAAGTGTGCAGGTCTGTGTCATTTTGGTGTACGGGTTCGTTTCACGCACTGCAGGCTCCTTGCTTTAGGTGTAGCTGCGGAAAACGCTGTCCCCTTTTCCCCCAGGGACCGGTGCAGAAGTCTGGGCCACCGAGGTGGCTCTCGACGGTGCCCCAGCCGCCAAATTTTGCGTCCGTGGCGGCGGCTTTGCGGCTGAGGGCCGACGCGCACCCTTCTTTACCCTCCCGCCGGCCAGTTAGAGCTTTAGCCCCCGCAGGCCCGGTTGCGAGGTATTTTGCACTAAAAAAGGGTCCGGGGAGGGGGAACGCGAGCGGCTCTGTGACTTTTCATTCCCGTGTCTTTCCTGCGTACAGATGTGATTCTAATATTGCAACATCAGGACCACAGGTTGGTTGGTTGGTTCGTTGGTTGGTTGGTTTTAGAAAAGCGTAATATTTATTTGCCAAGATCCGGTTGACAGGTGCGAGTGTTCAGGGAAGAAATGCCGAGAATGCTGACATTTTGTGTTGCGTTCGTTATTGCAAAAATGGTTTACTAGCTTTTCTGCGTCTCCAGAATATTTTCATTTTTGATACAATCGTGTGGTTTAATTCTACAAATTGTAAGTTTAGGTGTGGCCAAGATTTAAGAGAATCAAACTTATCTTCTAAATCAGCGGTTTTGGTTATTTCGCCCCTATTTCCTATTTTCCTCCCCCCCCCCTTTTTTTAAACCGCAACTTTACCGTTGTGAGAGTCTCACATGATCCAATGATTCAATTAACAAATATTTATGAAGTGTCTAATATGTGCCAGGCAGTGTCCTAGCCGCTGGGGATGCAGCAGTGGTCACGGCAGAACTGCTGTCTTTCTTGGAAACGGGCAATAAACATACTAAGAGACAGTATTGGGTGATAAGTGCTAAGCACAACTGTTAAGGAATGTAAGAGATGGGAACTGCTGGGGTACCGGTGGAAAGTTTGGATGGAGTGTTCAGGGTAGGTCTTTTCTGAGAAGGAGCGTTAGAGAGAAGACCTGAAGGATGGGAGCTGCGGAGATGTGGGGACTGCTTTCAGTCAGAGGGACAAGTGCCAAGGCTGGAGTATACCTGGATTGATTCAGGAACAGCAGGGAGGCAGTGTGGCTGCAATGAAACACCGTGGACACTGAGAGAGGTCAAGGTTCTTAGGAGGACTTTGGGTTTCCAAACTACGTACGATTGCAAACCACGGGAAGATGTTGAGCCGAAGAATAATTTTTCTGTGGCTCATACATTTTTAAAGCATCAATTTGGGTTGTAGCTTTGAGGTTAAAAGAAAGAAGGGGAAAAGTGGAAGCAGAGAGACGAGTGAGGAGGTTGTATTAGTTTCATATTGCTGCTATAACATTATAGCAAATTTAGTGGCTTAAAACAACACAGATTTGTTCTTACAGTTCTGCAGGTCCGAAATCTCACTAGGCTACAATCAAGGTGTCAGTAGGGCTGTGTTCCTTTTAGAGGCGTTAAGGGGAAATCTATTTCTTTGCCTTTTCCAGCTTCTAGAGACCATTGGTATTTCTTGCCTCCTGATTCTGTCTTTCATCTTCAGAGGTAGCAGTGTAGTATCTTCAAATCACCCTAACACTTTCTGATGCTCTTGTCTCCCCCTTCTATAAAGACAGGTGTGATTGCATTGGGTCCACCCAGATAAACCAGGGTAATCTCATCTCATGGTCTTACTCTAATCACAGCAGCAAAATCCCTTTTCTTTTGTCAAGTAAAATACTCCCAGGTTTTGGGGTTTGTGACAGGAACGTATTTACGACGAGGTCAAAGAAGTTGGGGCCTCGGGCCACTTCATTAGTGATGGAGGTGGTCAGTGGGCCAGCCTGGATGTTTAAAAGATAAGAGCATTTACTGATGGATCAGAAGTGGAGTGTGAGAAAAATGTGTCAGGATTGACTGCAGAATTGGATGATTCGTTTGGAAAGGAGCCTGGCAATGTGAATAACCATTGCTAATTTCTTAATTATATTTTGTAGTCTTGTTTCTTAATTTGTAGTTTCTCGTTTAGTTTTGCAAGATTTGGATTAGTATTTCCAATTGATTTTGAGATTTCTGAGGGTAGGGATCATTGCTGGTTTTGCCCCTAGCTTGTTTCTAATGCCTGACAACGATGATAAGCCCTCAGTAAATACTTATTAAAGAATAAAAGAATGGAAAGCTTACATGCAGTACTGTTTGCAGAACCCTTTTAATATATGTTTATGTATGTAAATGTATCCATATATGGATGGTAAAGGCATTGCACACCATATATGATATTTACATTAAAATACAGTGTAGTTTTCAGGTGATATATAGATCTTATGATGTAAACATAACTGAAATACTATTAACTTCATAGATAGCATAGATATCATATTGACTGAGTTCAGTGTTATCCATAGGAATGGACCAGGTCACGTTTTTATTCTCTAGCAAGATTATTAGCCTGGAAAGCAAAGCAGTATGTATTTAAAACTGCACTGAATTTTGCCTGGTTAGCACATTCTCTCAGTCATTAGATCAGATGAGTTTTAATAGGTCATGGATTGAATTTTATGGTCCAGCAGTTTCTGAGGGTAGGGGCTGTAAGAAGTAGCTCCAACTACTCTTTTTTGTGTTAACTGCAGTGTCGATGTAGTTTTGGGGGAAGCAGTTTCCATCTATAGCGTCAGGGACCTTAAAGGTCCAAATCCACCTACTCTTTCAAACTCTTGAAACCTAGATTTACATAAGAGATTTGGACCCCCCCCCCCCCGCTGCCCCCGGATCGAGTCATGTGATTTGGTGCTCATGCACAGTACTGCAGATGACCTCTTTTTTTGTATTTGGAAGGAAATGGTGCATGTTTTTTGTATTTGGGAGTTATTAAATATTATAATGCTTATAGAATTAAGCTTTTAGTAGTTTGTAAATCTGAGCATATATAAGCATAACCACTTCCTTATATGTAATGTGAGTCCTTGCCATTGTTACATATATAGAAAATAAAGTATTTTTTGAATGTGTATTTTAATGTCATTCACTCAAAATTTTACAGTAGATATTAACTTATTAAAGAATTCGTACTAAATTAATGGTAGCAGGCTACTAATCTTCAGCTTTATGTAGCATTGTTTCCCACTTGAAGACAACTATGTGCCTAGAATGTTTCAGCTGTGTTTTGATCAATCACACATCATCTCATCTTTTTTCCTTTTTAATGATGTAAAATATTTAACATAGTCTGTTCTGTCTTATCTCTTTCCATTCGCATCCTAAAAAACCTTAATATCCTTACCTAGTGTTTTGACTTACCCCTATTCGGTTACTTTTTGCCCTTGATGGAGATTTCTGTGGTATACTGAAACAACCCCGCCCTCTCGATTTACTGTATTTTGCTGTGTATAATGTGCACGTGTTTGTCCAAATTTTTTAGGGAAAAATAAGGATGCTCATTGTACATGGTAATAATGATTACATACCATGGGCATAATAATGGATATAATGATCCCATGTATAACATGCGCAAAAACGTGGGCGTGCATTATACATGCCAAAAATGGAATTTATTTACCCATACACACAAAATAATACATATTTTAAACAAACTTTATCTGCTAATCCTAGCATGAGTGAGTGATCAAAGTACAATTGTAGTATACCACTTTTAAAGTAGATATATTAGCATTTTTTAAAAACCCTTGGAATATCTGATTTCTGAATTTCTCAGGATTCTGTTGGTTTCAGCATTTTTCCAGTTTGCTGCCATCCCCAGCACTCATATTTGCCTTCCATGTACAGAGGACCTATTGCTGTGATTAGGTGTTTTTTCCTATAACCGTTTTAGTCAGCTCCTGTATGCACCTGCCTTTTTAAAGCCTTTGAGATTTTTTTTTTTTTTTAGGTCGGTATAGTGTGTGGTACAGGGACTTTTTTGATTGAACAGGAAGGAGGGATGAGATAAGGACTGGTATTTAGAAAGTCTGTTGGGGCTAAGACATTTTCAGAGGAAGGGAAATGACGATAGAAAAATCAGAATTTATATCCCAAGAGCAACCTTTCTGACAACAGAATTGTTCTCTGCTGCCATCATTTTTCTTAGCTTTTGGAAGATTCTTTTTTGAACCTCTTCTCCTGTGGTTAGGTGGCACTTTCCTTTAAATTTTAAGTATTATCATGAAAAATCCTTTGAAAGAAGGATTCAGTGGTATCGTAATTTACAGGAGACCACTATATGCAGAGAGAATAGAGTCCTGTGATAAGTGAGATGACATTAAATTAATTATAAATTCAGAGGTATGTGTAGAAAACTTTTTAAAATGAGTCATATTTGCTGACATAGGAAATAGCAATGTTACACAGAACTCTGCCCTGAAAACTTTTGTATTGCAGTTATGTTGAAAATATAAAGGAAATACAGTGATGATTATTTCTCCACTGATAAAATGCAGTGTACTATTCTGGAATCAAATGATCTGTCATTACTGAGCTACAATAATGGTAGCATTAAAGATTTTCCTGTCAGCAGATTACTGTTGTGGCTGATTTGAGTCATAAAAATTACAGACTTTGAGAAAAGGAAGTAGGAAATTCATTTGTTAATGTTTTCGGTGTTGGTAAAAAAGAAAAAAAACCAATAATACTGATGTATAACAGCCATGTGTACACAGGAAGAGAGCCAGCATCCCGTTTATCTGATTACTTATCTGAGCTTTCTTATTGTAGTTGGTTTTTGACTCAAGTAGTTCTGGTACCCCTTTCAGTCAGTATTGCATGTTCTTCAGTTCTAGGTAAGAAGAGAATTGGGGGACGTAAGAGTTGGTAGAAGATGGCAAAAGGCGATGCGGACTTTAAATTCTCTTATCAACTTAGTCTGTTGTATCCCATGAGCCTTTTTTCCTTTCTGCCTTGCCTTATAATACCTTGCCTTCTGGAAGGTAAAAGTTTTGAGGAAAATTGAAGAAAATGTTACCTGAACCCTGGTTGTGTGGTTCAGTGGGTTGAGCGCCAGCCCATGAACCGAAAGGTCGCTGGTTCAGTTCCCCACTCAGGGCACGTGCCTGGGTTGGGAGTGTGACAGAGGCAACCAGTAGATGTTTCTCTCCTACGTCGATGCTTTTCTCCCTCTCTTTCTCCCTCCCTCCCACTCTCTCTAAAAAACTAAATAAAATCAAACAAGAAGAGAAGAAGAAAATGTTACCTGATGTTGCTCTTCCTTAGATGTGTTAGGAAGCTAGGAGAGATGAGTTTTTCTTTTCTTTCTAGTTTAAAGTGCCTGAGCAGCCCTGGCTGGTGTGGCTCAGTGGATTGAGTGCCAGCCTGCAAACCAAAGGGTCCCTGGTTCAATTCCCAGGCAGGGTACATACCTGGGTTGCTAGCCAGGTCCCGAGTGGGAGTGCACAAGAGGCAACCACACATGGATGTTTCTCTTCCTCTCTTTCTCCTTCCCTTCCCCTCTCTCAAAAAAATAAAACCTTTTAAAAAAAAAAGTGCTTGAGCAATTTTTCTAGCATTAGGAAGTATGATTAGGAGATCCCATATGGCTACCAAAGTCCCAATTTCTCACTCTCCCAAGACTGACAGTAGCATTAGTAGCATTTTTTCTTTTAATCCTCACTTGAGGATATATTATTGATTGATTTTAGAGGAAAGAGGGAGAGACAGAGAAATATACATCTATATGAGAGAGAAACATCGATTGGTTGCCTTCCATATATGCCAGGAGATGGGGATCCAACCCACAACCTAGGTATGTGCTCTGAAAGGGGATTGAACGCACAACATTTTGGTGTACAAGGTGATGCTTGAACCAGCCAAGCCACCTGGCCGGGGCAGCGTTAAGGTTTCTTTTAAAAATCATGTCCAAATACCATACGCTCTCACCTATAAGTGGAATCTAATCAAGAAAACAAATGAGCAAAACAGAACCAGAGACTTGGAAATAAAGAACAAACTGACAGTGAGGGCAGGTGGAGGGGGATAACTGGGGAAAGAAAGGGAAGGCGCAAACAGAGGAACATGAATAGAGGACTCATGGGCATGGAGAATGGGGGGGATTGACTGTAGGACGGAGGGCAGGGTAGGGGAAAGCCACGGGGAAAAGGTGGAGCAGCTGTAACTGAACAGTGAAAAAAATACATGCCATCTCTATCCAAATTTTATTTTAATGTTTGCTTCAATATTTACTTTTATGTTTATTTTTCCAGGTAAATGTTGAAGAGCAGGCATTCTCGTTCAAGGATTGGTTTCATCTAGGATTTGATTTAGATTCCTATACACTCAATTAGTGTTGAAATAATCTCTGTATAAAAGGCATTTAATTATTTTTGAAAACAACAAATGTGTATACAATCTGTATTTGATACATCTACCCTTACATTTATCTAGACTACCTTTGCGAAGCTGTATAAGAACCTCATTGCTCCAAGGAAGCAAATGGAAGACTAGTAATGGGGTTGGAAAGATATAACTTATAAATATACCCTTTTTTATATTTGAAATCCCCCCGTATATGTATGTATTATTGAATTTAAACATAGAAAAAGAAAAGGTTGATTTCAATGATATGCAATTAAATGTTTTTCAATTTATTGACTTTAGAGAGGCAGAGATCAATTTGTTGTCCCACTCATTTATACACGCATTGGTTGATTCTTGCATGTGCCCTGGCAGGATGGAACGGGATCAAACCCACATCCTGGGGGTATGGGAATGGTGCTCTAACCAACTGAGCTCTTCCGCTTGGGCAACTGTGTACGGTTGTAAAGATCTTCTATTCTCTTTACAGTGATATCCTGAGAGAAGATGGGAAAGGGCTGCAAGGTTGTGGTTTGTGGCTTGCTATCCGTGGGGAAAACAGCAATATTGGAGCAGCTCCTTTATGGGAATCATACTATTGGTAAGATTATTTTTCTGTAGTTTCTCTTTGGGTTCTGGGAACTGCTAGGGGTCTTTCGTTGGTCATACTAACCTGACGATGGATGGTAGTACACAAAAGTGTGTAATCTAAAGGGACCAGGGCCCAAAAAGGTCATAGAAGTCAACAGAGATTGAGGGAGGGAAAAATAGGGGAGAGGAAAAAAAAACCATCTTTTATGAGAGTGAAATTCAAGAGTGCTTGCTGTAAGTTATATCCTTTATATATTATGTAGTTTCCCGTGTATTTACAAAATGAATAGTGATCTCGGAGTCATTGAATCACTGACTTAAGAACACACTGAATGATCTCATTCTTATTTCAAACATGACTTTCCAGTACTGCTGTATAGGTTTTTTAAAATGGAAGAAATATCTGTTTGCTGCAGTATGATCTAATTTTGTGAATTGGATGATCTCATTCATTTATGCATTTGAGTTAAATCATTATTAAACCTAGTATAGGCTGTGATGGGGCCTTCTGAAAATAGAGAGGTGAAGAAGACAGCATCTTTGGCCTTAAGGAGGTCATGGTGTAGTAAGGAAGACTCACATTACAAGTTAGAATGAAATGCGATTTATGTTGGAGAGAGAAATAGAATCATAGGTCTTTGAAGTATTTATCTCTGGCAAGTAGCTTAGAGTATGTTGCTGTCTTTTAATAACTATTTTGATGAGTTCTGCTTCTCTTTCACCATCACAAAATACTGAATGATTTTGGTTAAATCCATATTTGGTTTTTGTTATGGTGTCTCTGCCAGCAGTTCTCAAACTTTTTCATTTCTAAATCCCTCCTGTCACAAATGCTGCACTGTTTGTTCTTAATTTTTCCTTTCCTGATTCTCATTTATGTCTCTGCAAAAAGTAAATTACTCCCGAGTGTGAAGGGTAAGATTCCTTTCACCCTCTTAAAACTCCAGACAGCTTTTGTTTATCGTTTATGTAGGTTATATTTTTTTTATATTTTTGCTGTATTAGAAATTAAAATAAACTCAAAAATATTTATTATTTAAAATAATGACAATAAACTTACCACATGCTAAGATAACATTTTTATGAAAAATAATTCTTTCTTCAAAAAATTTACTGAGAAGAGCATTGATTTACATTTTTGAAAATCTAGTGACCAATTTAATAGAAGGCAGCTGGATTATCATATCTGCTTGCTTTTGTATTCAATCCATTGTGACATGTTGTTTAGTTGAAATATAGGAAGAAAACCTGGCCCTTTCAAAATGGAAATGCATGTTCTTCAGTTCTGAATTACTTTATTGATGCTTTCCTTCCTCTGTGTTCTCTTTCTGGAACCGTTTTTGGATGGTGGGCCTTCTAGACTAGTAATCTCTTTTTCTTCTCTCCTGTTTTCTATCTCTCAATATTTTGTTCCACTTTTTGAGAGTTTTCCTTATCTTTATTTTACAGCCCTTATGTTGAGTTTTTACTTCATAGTATACTGTTCTTATTTCATGGATGCACTATCCTATCTCTTTGAGTATAATATTGGGTAGTTTTTTGGTTAGTCTTCTTTCTTTCTTTTTTTTTTTTTTGCAGTCTTTTTTTCTCTAAGGTGATGGTTTCTGATTTTTAGTCTCCCTTTTCCGCAGGTCTCTGGTAATCAGTCGTAGGTTGTCTACTCATAATTAGGAATGGAGAGCAAAAAAGTTAATTGAAAGCTGTAAGCATGTGGATAGGATTTATAACTTTGAGCTTCATAAGGTGACTTGGGTGGGACATTTGTTGAGGAACCCTAAATGTTACCATATTTAGGATTTTACCTTTCTCACTGGCCAGATTCTCCCATTTCCTCCGCCTGGAGGATTGACCTTACTATCCTTTCATCCTTTCATCCTTTGTTTTACTCTTCTGCAGAAATCATATCCTTAGTTTTCTGTTGATATAGGGTAGGGGTTATTGCCCAGTAGCATGGAGAGGGAGAGATCTAGAAAGCTGATGGAAGAGTCATGACTTCAGTTGATTTACAGAGTAACAAAATCTCAAAATGTCTAATCTTAATGCGGGGAGGGGGAAACACCCACCATGACAAGTCTTGGTAGTTTTTAAAATTTTCTGTAATCAAAGCCTAGTAAGCTATTTCTTACTTTCCTTAAGGTAGGTTAATTTATCACAGGATGATACATACTCAAACATATGAATAATTTTCCCTTTCTAAACATTGAGCACATTCCTTAATATAAAGAATTATGCTGCTGAGCCCTGGCTAGTGTGGCTCAGTGGATTGCATGCCGGCCTGCAAATTGAAAGGTCACTGGTTTGATTCCCAGTCAGGGCACATGTCTGGTTACCAGCCAGGTTCCCAGGTGGAGGCATGCGAGAGGCAACTGATCGATGTCTCTCTCGCAGATCAATGTTTCTCTCCCTCTCTTTTCCCCTCCCATTCCCTCTCTCTAAAAATAAATAAATAAAAAAATTTTTTTAAAGAATTATGCTGATGAAAGTAAATTTTTGTTTTCTCATGATCCAATCTCTTTATCATTATATGATTATTTCTTCTAACCTAATACTTTATGGAGATTTTGTTTAATATTTATAGACATTTCATATAAGGCACCTGCAACAAAGCATTTTCTAGTATTTAGGTTGTTTAAGAGAATTACAGCAAGAGTTTTTTAAAGCCTATAATATAGTGTGTTTTATTGGCATAGGATGTTCTCCATATGATTTTACCTCCAGATATTGCTCATATTTAAATATGAAGGTAATTACTGGAACAGTTTAATATCTATCTTATCATATGCATCTCTACTAATTAACATTTTAAGTGTTAATCTCTTCTTAATCCCCTATCAAGAGATGATTATTTAATACCCGCTATGTACACAGGATGTTTTCTTTTTCTCAAGGGAGTTGTAGACTAGTGGAAGAGACAAAGCTGTGCAAATAAAGCAAAATCAGAGTGCGTTTTAATTTTTTTAAGAATTTCTTGAGAGAGAGGAAGATGACAAGGGTGGAGAGAGAAAGAAAGAGATTTGTTGTTCCATTTATTTGTGTATTCATTGTTTGATTCTCGTATGTGCCTAAATTGGGGATTGAACCCACAACCTTGTCATATCAGGATGACGCTTTAATCAGCCAGGGCTAGGAATGCATTTTAAAAGGATCACTCAGGCAAGAAGGGACTGAAATTGAGACATCAATTATGAATTCATTCATTTAGCAAACATTTACTAAGGACTTCCTATGTTTGTAAGTCAATTTGTTAGTACTCAGAGCTATCAAGATAGATTAGCCACAGTTCTGGCTCTCAAGGAATTTACACCTAAGCTTTGGAGGGGACCAATATGCGAAGATTTAAATATTAAATGGTATTACCTATACAAGGCACAGCAGGAGCAGAAAGTGGGGAAGGGGATAATCAGGAGAGGATCCAGGGAGCTGACATTTGAGCAGAGTCTAGAAAGGATACCAGGTGTTCACCAGATGTTTACTGAACTGTTGCAGCAATTCAGGTGATAATACACCAATGGGAATGGAAGGAGGCAATGTATTGAGCAGATGTTTCAGCATTAGAGTGGCTGGTTTATGATAACTTTCACCCACCTTTTCCCCATTTAAAGAAAACTCTTATGACTGCCCAGGTGGATGGTGATCAAGGGGAGAAAGCAAAGAGGAAGAACAGGTATGGGAAAGAATGATGACAAGTTTTGATCGTTTGAAGAATTTGCAGGACATTCACATAAAACTGCCCAGTACATATTGGGAATTAAAGCTTGGTGCTCAGGCCCAGATTGGACATATAAATTTTTGAGTCCCATAAACAAACCCTGGAAATAGTGGAAGTTGTACAGAAAAAAAAGCAGCAAATTTATTCCAGGTCCTGTCCTTGGCTCTGATGGAGAAGAAAATGGAGCCACTTAGCTGTTGAAGCTACTTTTAAAATCAGCCTTTAATCCTCTAATGTAGGTATTTAGTTCTTTGACTCTCATTAGTTACTTTTTTAAAACATGTAATATTAAATTGTTACTGAATTTTTATTTATACTTTTATTTCTATACAGAATACTTTTTTAAATCCTCTACCCAGGGATGTTTTTTTTTTTCAATTGACTTCAGAGACTGGACTGGTGTGACTCAGTGGGTTGAGTGCTGGCCTGCAAACTGAAAGGTCACCCATTCAATTCCTGGTCAGGGCACATGCGTGGGTTGTGGGCTAGGTCTCCAGCTGGGGGACGTGTGAGAGGCAACCAATTGATGTCTCTCTCACACATAAAGTTTCTCTCCTCTTTCTCCCTCTCTTCTCTCTAAAAAATAAATACGATCTTTAAAAATATTGATTTTAGAGAGAAAGGAAGGGAGAGAGAGAAAAAAAACATCAATATGAGAGAGAAACATTGATTGTTTGCCTCCTATATGTTCCTCGACTAGGGACTGAACCTGCAACCTAGGTATGTGCCCTAACAGGGAATCTAACCTGCAGCCTTTTGGTGTATGGGACGATGCTCCAATCAACTGACCCATCCGCAGCCAGGGCTGGAAGAAATATTTTTAAAGAGCAGTTTGTTCATTTACTATAACAACTACCTTTCATTTTAAAGAAGTTAGTAAATGGAAATATGATTCTTATACATAGTAAATAGGGAACTTAGAAAGCCAACAACTTCTAAAAGACAAGAAAATACTCAGCAATTGGTGCAACGTAATGATTTGATATTGGTACACATAGAGTCATTTCTGTTTCATCCCAGGAATGGAAGATTGTGAAACAATGGAAGATGTATATATGGCTTCAGTGGAAACAGATCGAGGAGTAAAGGAACAGTTACATCTTTATGACACCAGAGGTCTACAGGAAGGTGTGGAACTGCCAAAGCATTATTTTTCATTTGCTGATGGCTTTGTTCTAGTGTACAGTGTGAATAATCTTGAATCCTTTCAAAGAGTGGAACTTCTGAAGAAAGAAATTGATAAGTTTAAAGACAAAAAAGAGGTGAGTATGTTAAAAATGCTAACTATGAATTACAATACTATTTAAATTGTTGCTTGGAATTTGGGGTTAAAATATTTTTAAAGCATCAAATTGTATTCACAGTATCTGTAATCTTTATTTTTATTTATTTTTCTTAGCCCAGGAAATATAGGATTGACTGAGTTCAGTCGGGACCAGCATTTGACTTTATTCTGCCTTTGCTTGTTACCATGTATAAGTTGAATTTTAATGACTTCATATCTCAGGTACTACATAGTCCATTTCATTTTGTGTGGCATCACTGTTTCCTAGGGCTCATTTTTTTTTTCTTTATGGAATTTATTGGGGTGATATTGGTTCCTAGGGCTTATTGTCTCCTAGGCTAAATAGGATTCTTCAGCCTTACAAAAAAAAAAAAAAAAAAAGAAAGAAATGAAAAAAAGAGGAAAAACTCTTAAATAATTATTGGTTTCCACCCATTTTACACTTAAAAATACGATCCTTACCATGGTCTCTGAAGTCTTACATGACTTGGACCACAACTCTCCTTTTCATCTTACCTTTATCGTTCTGTTCCTTTGCCACTGTACTCCACTGGCACGGGTCTGTGTTCTGTTTCTCCAACATGTTAATTTTCTTCCACTGCTACGTCCTTCTCAATTGCTTGTTCTCATGCCTGGAACCCTCTTATCACAGATCTTTTTCCAGATCTTCGCACAGTTGACTCCTCATCATCTAGAAGTTCCATCCTGTAATGTACTGGTTAACAGCACCAGCTACATGTTCTTAACCTAGATTTTTACATTTTACTCTTATGTTAACCATTTTATTTTGAGATAATTGTAGATTCACATACAGTTTTAAGAAATAATAGAGATATTTAGCTAGTTTCCCCTAGTGTTAACATTGTGTAAAACTATAGTACAATTTCACAATCAAGATACAGAACATTGCTGTCACCGCCAGGATCCCTCATGTTACCGTTATAACCACCCCCACTTCTGTTCCATCACCACGCCACTTAATGCCTGACAAACACTAATCTGTTCTCCATTTCTATAACTTTGTTATTTCAAGAATGTCAACATAAATGGAATCATACAGTATGCAACTTTTTGGTATCAGCTTTTTTCATTCAGCATAATTCTCTGGAAAGTCATTCAAGTCATTGCACATATCAGTAGTTCATTCCATTTTATCTGTGAGTTGTATTCCATGGTATGTATGTAACAGAGTTTGCTTAACCATTGATCTGCTGAAGGACATCTGGATTGCTGACATTTATTTTTATTATTTTGAGTACGTATTTACTTTATGACTAGGTAACAATATTCACAAGGTTCAATTTTCAAAAAAAATAAAAAGGCTAGTAATGAATGTTCCCCTCCCATCTGTTTCCCATCTTTCCCGTCTAAACAGATAAATGCTGCTACTATTTTTCAGAGTATCCTACAGATTCCCCACAAAGTTGAAAGACTAGTTCAGTGAACACTCATATACTTGATACTTAAATCTTGGCTCTGCTTCTCAAATTTTCTGCTTCAGTTTCCTTATCTGTAAAATGAGGATAATAGTACCTTCCTCATACGTTTGTTACGGGGATTTAAGAAGTACACTCATTCACCAAATGCTAACTGAACAACTACTGTGTACATGGCATTGTTCTGGTTAAGGTACGGGAAATATAGCTAACAAAAGAGAGTCCCTGTTTCTGTAAAGCTTCTATTTTGGCCATGGGATGGGAAGAGACAGTGAACAAATACAGCAATGATGTGTAGAAAAGTAAAGCAGAAAAAAATAAAGGCAAAGTAAAGCAGAGTGTGGAGTGAGGGTACTATTTTCTGTAGAGCAATCTCGGAAGGCCTCTCAGATGAGGTGACTTTCAGCAGAGATCTAAGAAAGTGAGGGAGAAGTGAAGCGGCTGTCGGAGGAGAGGAGTGCTCCAGGTCAGGGGCTTGTCATGTTCAGGATCAGCGGTGAGGCCAGAGCGGTCTGGGAACAGTGTGGTAGGAACTGAGGGCAGCATGCGGATCGGAAGTCGCTGGTTTTGAGCAAAGGAATGATGTTATCTGGCTTAGTTTGCATTTATTTATTTTCATGTTTATTTTTTAAAACGTGAGTAATGTTTGCATGTAATTCAAAAGTAAAAATGATATGTTAAAATGATATGTTTACTAGAGTAAACTCTAGTTCCCACCCCTGTCTTTAACTGCTGAGTTTCTCAACCTCAAGTGCGCTCTTTCTGTATTTTACCTCTTTAATAGTTTCGGGGTAATTCTTCCAAAGTTTCTTTATGTAAATAAAAGTAAAAAGGAATGCACATGTTTTTTCTTATTTTTCCTTTTTCTTACAATAAAGTTAGCTTATTGTTCTACATCTTGTATTTTTCGTTTCTTTTTTGTTTTATATTCCACATATGAGTGAGATCATATAGTTTTTGTCCTTTTCTTTCTGGCTTATTTCCCTTAGAATAATACTTTCAGGTTCCATCCATGTTGTTGTGAATGGCAATACTTCATCTTTTTAAATGGCTGAGTAGTATTCCAATGTATGTATACCACATCTTTCTTTATTCATCCATCAGTGGATACTTATGTTGTTTTCATATCTTGGCTATTATAAATAATACCGTGAACGTAGGGGTGAATCTATCTTTTTCAAATTAGTGTTTTTGTATTCTTAGGATGAATACCCAGAAGTGGAATTGTTGGATCATATGGTAGTTCTATTCTTAATTTCTTGAGGATCCTCCATACTGTTTCCCATAGTGTCTGCCCCAATTCATTTAAAGGTTTCTCCACATTCTGTCCAACACTTGTTGCTTGTCTTTTTGGTAATCACCATTTCTAACAGGTGTGAAGTGATATCATACAGTGATTTTGGTTTGCACTTCCCTAATAATTAGTGATGTCAAACATCTTTTCATGTACCTGTTGGCTATCTGTCTGTCTTCCTTTGAAAAATGTCTGTTAAAAACATCTGCCCATTTTTTAAATTGGGTTGTTTGTTTCATTGTTATTGAGTTGTATCAGTGCTTAGTATATTTTGGATATTAACCCTTTATCAGAAGTATCATTTGCAAATGTCTTCTTCCATTCAGCTGGTTGCCTTTTTGTTTTGTTGATGATTTCCTTTGCTGTGCAACTTTTTAGTTTGATGTAGTCCATTTGTTTGTTTTTGCTTTTGTTTTCCTTGCTTTTGGGAGTCAAACCCACAAAAACATCACTAAGACTGATGTCCAGAAGATTAGTCGCAGTGTTTTCTTTTCTCTATGCTTTTATGGTTTCAGGTCTTACATTAAAGTCTTTAATCCAGCAGTCCTCAACTTTTTTGGCACCAGGGACTGGTTTTGTGGAAGACAGGTTGGCGGGGGCGGAGTGGGGGCAGGAGTTGGGGACAGGAGGCAGAGACCAGGTGAACTTTGCTTGTGGCCTGTTCCTAACAGAGCACAGACCGCTACTGGTCCATGTCCCAGGGGTTGGGGACCACTGCTTTAATCTATTTTTAGTTGTTTTTTTACGTATGGTGTAAGATAGTCGTCTAGTTTCATTCTTTTGTATGTGGCTGTCCAGTTTTGCTAACACCATTTATTGAAGAGGTTTCCTTTTTCTATTGTATGTTATTAGCACTTTTGTCATAAATTAGTTGTTCATAATATGTGTGGGTTTATTTGTAGGCTTTCAATGCTATACCATTGTTTGTCTGGCACTACCACGCTGTTTTGATTAATGTAGTTTGTAATATAGTTTGGAATTGGGTGTTGTGATATCTCTACTTCATTCTTTTTTTCTCAGGATTTCTTTGGCAATTTGGGGTCTTTTGCAATTCCATACAAATTTTAGGATTTTATTGTTTTGTTCTGTGAAAAATGCCATTAGGATTTTGATAGGGATTACATTGACTCTGTAGATTGTTTTAGATACTATTGAAGTTTTAGTAATGGTGATTCTTCTAATCTGTGAACACATAATATTTTTCAATTTCTTTGTGTCATCTTCAATTTCTTTTAACAATGTCTTGTAGTTTTCGAAAGGGACCAAAAGTTTTATCTAAAAAAAAAACAAACCCCAAAACCCAGACTTCCAGTCAAGATGGAGGCATAGGTAAACATGCATCACCTCCTCACACAACTACAACAAAAATTACAACTAGACCACAAAACAAATATCACCCAAAACTGTCAGAAAATAAAGCTGTATGAAGTCCAACAACCAAGGATTTAAAGAAGCACATTTATCCAAATGGGTAGGAGGGGCAGAAAGGTGAAGAGATGTGGAATAGATGGTCCCATATCCATCTGTGGTGGATAAAAATGGAAAGGGTTGCCTCAGGAGCAAGGGATCCCAGCCCCAGACCAGACCACCCAGCCCAGGGTTCCAGCACCAGGAAGATAAATCCCCATAACTTCTGGCTGTAAAAACCAGTAGGGTTTGGAATGGCAGAAGAAACTGTGGGATTCTCAGGAGACTTCTCTTAAAGCGCCCACAATGGACTTAAGACTTAACACAGACTCTCCTGCTCTGGGATTGAGCATAAGGGCAATAGCTGGAAGGGCCCCAGTGGCACTGAGGGAGGAACTGAAGTGTCTGGCAACAGGGCGAGTGCCAGGAGACAGCTTCCTCCAGGGCAAAACTCCAGAGGCCAGGCAGCAGCACTGTCCCCTCTCCAGGCCCTCCCCCACACAGCCATAGAGTGGCGACATGAGTTGCCCCACCCTGGTGAGTACCTAAGGCTCCACCCCATACAAGTTACAGGTGTGCTTTTCTACAATAGGCCACGCTACTAAGACAGGGAGTCAAAGCAGCTCTACCTAATACACAGAAACAAACACAGGGAGGCTGCTAAAATGAGGAGACAAAAATATATGGTCCAACTGAAAGAGCAGAACAGAACTCCAGAAAAAGAACTAAATGAGATGCAGATAAGCAACCTATCAGATGCAGAGTTCAAAACACTGGTTATCAGGATGCTCATAGAAATCAATGGGTACTGCAACAGCATAAAAAAAGACCCAGGCAGAA